ATCTTTAGAAGTTAAAGGTTTTGGAAGTGGATATGTTGTTATTAGAATGATGGATGTTTTAATTTTGAAAAAAGTTGATTATTAATGGTATATATAGCATTTACAAATTTTGATAAAAACATTATTTTCTTAGTGTATGAGGTTTATGTTGAATTATAATGGCTATAAGGTTTATGTGTTGAATTATAGAAGTTTGTGATAAATTTTGATAAAAATATGATTTTCTTGATGTATAATGATATATAGTAATATGTATAAGGTTTGTGTTGAATTATAATGGTTATAAGGTTTATGTGTTATATAGCTTGGTTCTGATGCCTTTTAATTTGTTGGTTTTGTTTAAGATAGGTGCAGAAGATAGAGATAAAAAGTTACTAAAATTTGTTGATATGTGCAGAAGACAAGTTCAAAGTTTTTTTAGATAGAGTTGGTATATATATTGGTAATATGCAAATTTGGAATATATATCAAAAAGTAGTTGTTGTATATATATTGGTAATATGCAAATTTGGAATATATATAAAAAAACTATCCGCTATAACGGTTTCATGTTGCGCCATCGCTTTTAAAAAATATGCTGCCATTTTATTAAAAAACGAGACTTATGTCAAAGCTTAGAATAATTCTTGTACTATAACCACCTTTATAATAATTCTTGTAGTTTTCTCCTCACTCACAATCCATGATCAATTTATCCTTCCTCTCTCTGATCTCATTTGCAGTATCAGAATGAACAATAACAACAATAATACTGTGTTGTTTACTAATGGATTGTGCCCATGCTAACACGTCAACTCGGGAGGAAAATATATGTCATTTACAAAATCTAAAGAATAAATTATTAAAGTCACAGATACCGAAGGCTTATTAAATGGACAAGTTAAAAAGAAAACATGCGAATAACACATACAACGCCAATGGATTCCTCAGAAATACCAATTTTTTTTTAAAATCCAGTATAATTGCATGGATTTGTAAAAAAATTCAATATAAGACACTAGAAAATTGAACGAGTTCAAATGGAGAATGCACAACAAAAGGGAAGCATGTTCGAAGTCAATGGTATTGATCATGTAAATACTAAGGTCGATGCAATTACTCAGAAGATCAACAACTTAATTATTAGCCCTCCAGTTACCGTAGCCGTTGTGACTCCAAACTGCAAAATCTGTGGAGTCCAATGGCATGTCACTACTTATTGTTAGCTATTGATAGGGATTGCGCCTGACCAACATAACTATGCACAATGAATTCCCTACTCAAACACCTATAACCCCGGATGGAGAAACCATTCAAAATTTTCCTACAAGAGCAACAATGCATTATTTGCTCCAAGTCCTCCACCTTTAAACCTTCCAGGTTTCCCAATAGGAGCCCCTACCACTCCTCTTGCTCCTAGAAAGTCAAACTTAGAAATAATGATGGAGAACTTCATCACAAATCATACCCAGCTGAACAAAGAGTTTATGAATCAAAATGTTCACACTAATGAGCTGGTGAAACAGTTGGCGGTCAAGGTTGAAGCCATGTCTATACACAACAAGATTCTTGTGATCCAAATCTCTCAAGTAGCCCAGTAACAAGCGGCTACTTCTGCTCCTACTGGCACATTTCTAGGCCAACCCCAACCCAATCCGAAGGGCCACGCCAACGCCATCATATTGCAAAGTGGGACGTAGTTAGATGGACCCATTGATCGCAAAGTTACAGATCAAGCAATGTCTATAAGAGTTAAGAAGGAACCAGAGAAGGTGAATGACAAGAGCCAAGTCGGAGAAATAATAGTTGATAGTTAGTAAACAACCACTATCAAAGAAGCTGTTGAGAAAGAGAAGCCATGTGTACCTCCACCGACTTACAAGCGACTTATACCATACCCTTAAAGACTTGTTAAAACTAAGAACGAATGTTAATTTACGAAATTCATCAAGCTCTTAAAGAAAATTTATATTACTTTTCACAGAGACCATTACTCAAATGCCCTCATATGCTAAGTTCCTCAAAGAGATCCTATTAAACAAGAAAAATCTTGAAGATGTCGAGACAGTGGCACTCACTGCAGAATGTAGCGTTATTATCCAAAATAATATGCCACCGTAGTTGAAAGACCCAGGTAGTTTTTCTACTCCATGTGTAATAGGCAAGTTTGTCATCGACAAGGCACTTTGTGGTCTAGGAGCCAGTGTTAGTTTAATGCCTCTCTCTATTTATTTAAAGTTGAAATTAGGAGACTTAAAACCAACAAGGATGTCCCTCAAATTAGCCGATAATTACCCTTGTGGTATGCTAGAAAATATTTCAGTATGCATTGGCCAATTCTATATTCCTACGAATTTTATAATGGTGGACATAAAGGAAGACTCTAACACCCCCATCATATTAGGAAGACCTTTCTTAGCCACTGCGATCATAGGTGTGAAATGAGGGAAACTGCCATTTGAAGTTGGTGAGGAGTAACTAGAGTTTATTCTTTCCCAATTTCTGAAAGCTCCAGCTCTTGATGATACTTGTTGTTTCATAGACATCATTGATGAATGCAGAAAAGAGTTGGCATCTGAACCACCACCAACTAGAAAATGGTTGAACTTCCAGCCGAAGCAATGCTACAATAACATGAGGGCGAGTGCTATCTCCCATATGTTGATGATAGCCTAAGGAAATGTCTAGAACTTACACTTGACTCTATGCCAAGCCCTAAGCAACCCTCAGTACAACTTAAGGTACTACCCAAAAATCTAAGATATGAGTTTTTAGATTAACAACTTGATCGTCCCATTATAGTTAACGCTAATCTTGGTAAAGACGAGATTGAGAACACCTTGATTGTATTAAGAAAGTACCCCCCCCCCCCTTACGGTGATTTTTGAGGCTATTTTATGGACCACCTCACGTGAAGTGAGAGGTCTTGTTGGTGGCTGGCGTTGTTGGGTTGCAGGCAGCAGTTAGATTGATGGTGTTAGGGCTACTCGGAGCATAGTGCTCTCTTAGTAGTAGTAAACATGTATGGCTTGAGAATCTGTCTTATCCCCATGAGGGGTAAGGTATTTATAGAAGGTCCCAATACCTAGGGTTTTCTTAGGAAAGGTCGTTTCCCACATAGTTAAAAGGTGGACAGTTGAATCCCTATTTTCAAGAATGACATCGGCCAGTAACGACTATGACTTTCTCTTTATCAAAGACACCTCTTATCCCACATTTTTCTCTCTCTAGAGGTGAGGAAAACCTAAGAGTAAAGTGATACCTCCCTTTGGACGTCCTCGTGTCGTCGCCTTTTTCTAGGGCGATCCTAAGTTGTCGCCCTAGGCAAGGTTATTTGCAAATATAACACTACAATTTTGGTTAACTTTTTGATTCGATCTTGATTACTCTCTATATTGTTTAAGTTGTTTTGTACAAATTCCAAACTACAAAGCATAATCTTTTTATTTGTAAAAATTTATTTCCGCCGCACAAATCAATTTGTTTTGAAAACTCTGATAAAAGTTTTTCAAAACTATTTTCAACTAAAGTTTTAATTGAGAGGTCTATTCACCCCTATAGACCGTTGAATACTCCATATTCTTGCCTACGAGGCCACTCCTTCAATACACTTAAATCTCTTAACCAAATTTCGACTAGTTAAACTCTCAACTCCAACAATACAAGTTAAACCCTTATTCTCTAAACACACTTGAATATACACACATGTAGTGACGGGTGTAGAATATTATTTAAATGGAGACAAACAATTATAAGTTAATAAAAAAAATACACTTCTACAAATTAAAATATTTTATATATATTTTTATTTTGTGAATAAGTTATTTTATAGTAACATTGGCAAAAACAATATAATATCTCCTTTTGTATACAAACAACATACGATATTTTTTATTACATGTAATTCAATTAATCTAGGACTCTTGTAACGTAATCAAAATTAAAACTCTAAAAACAAAATTTATTGAAGAAAATATCACTCGCTCTTGTTAAAAATAGATTTTTTACATAGTATTTTATTCCTGTTTCCAATGTCAATAGAAAAATTTTCAAATAAAATTTCCATATTTTCAAACAATCCTAACCATTGTGTTAAATTTTTTTTATCTAATACAAGTTTATAACAAAATATTTTAAAATTTATAACATATTATAAAAGTAAATCTACCAAAAAAATATATAAAATAAATAATCAACAATAAACCGAACCAACTCGAAAATAGTTCGGAATTCGATTCGACAATTATATCGTTGAACTAAATTCATGAACCAAATGAGTTGAGTATGAACGAAAAATTAAGTTCGTTAACTAAATGAGCTGAACTTAAATTATACATAGTTCGACTCGTTAGGTTCACGAGTCAACTCGATTACATATGAGAACAATTATACTGTTTTTAAAATTAGGTTTAAAGATTTACTTCAAATCTTAGACAAATTTAATCTTCAATTTAGTAGTTTTTGAATTAGACTCTCAAATCTATCTCTTGAAAGTTGTGTAGGTTTTGAATTAGTAAATTTCAAAAATAAAGTTAAATTTAAATATGATAACTTTTATTTTATTTTAATATTTTATTTTAAAAAATATATATTTATTTAAAATGTCAAATATACTGAAAAATATATATATATTTAAAAAAATAGTTTTTAAGTCCGTGAATCATGTGAACAGAACCTAATGAGATGAACTTAACGAGTTGAACCGAACTGTTCGTAAACTTATAACGAGACGAGTTTGAACTTAAAAAAAAGTTCGTGTCGAACTCGAACTCGAACCCAAACTCAAACAATTCTTAACGAGTCGAGTTGAGGTGAGTTCGACTCGACTCGACTCATTTTCAGCCATAATAGAAAACATGTTTTTTAAAAATAGGGAAAGCAGTCAAAAAGTCGATTAATTGATATGTGTGGCCCCATATAGACCGCCGAAAGGAATGACTTTCAAAAATCATTCTTCATTTTGTTGTTATTTCTTTCTCAAGCATTTCTTCATCTTCTTCTTCTTACAAACAAAGTAACTAATGGATTCTATTCAGACAGAAACACTTGCGTCACTCTCAAACTCTGTGAAAGTATTGTTAGAAAAGATTGTTTCTACTCGGCTGGTCGACACCTTCCGGATCAAGAATGCTAACGTTTCACTTTCAAAAGAGGTTGAGAAAACACTGGTGGATCTTCAACATGTACTTTATTATGCCAACAAAAAGTTCATCCTCACTCAAGCTAACAACAATTCGCTGCATTTGCTCAGACGTCTTGTTTTTCAAGTTGCCTATTTGCTTGAGGAAACTCATTTTTTACGGTATGCTACCGTACTTACTCCTAACCAGCTCAAAATTCATTCTCGCTTAACTTTTTTCATTGAACTCATTAAGTCTAAAACGCTTAATTTAATTCAAATATTACAAGGCTTAAGTTCAAGAAAACAGCTTGGTTATAAATCTGCTATACATGGAAGAGGCCATGATATTAAGAAACTTAAACATCTTTTGTTGTCTAGTAGTAGTGATGGTGATAATAAAATAAGAGTGATTTCTATTGTTGGTATGGGAGGTATTGGTAAAACAGCCCTTGCTAAACACCTTTACAATGATCCACAAGTAAAGGACAAATTTGAGTTAAAAGTATGGGCATATATCTCAAATGATGATGATTTCAGTGTTTTTGAAAACATTGTTAGATCTATTACTCCAAAATCAAGGAGTAATGGTACAACTGACATCAACGCCGTTTACCCAATTTTTTTGATAGTTTTAGATGGTGTGTGGGATGCAAGATCGGTCAATTGGACATTACTGGGGAATATCTTCAAGAATGGGGAACCAGGAAGTAGGGTCATCGTCACAACACGAGACGAAAGAATTGCAATGTCCATGCAAACCATTCTTTCTGTCCATTATCTGAGACCCTTGAAAACCAAAGATTGTTGGACTTTACTAGAAGAAAATGCATTTGGAGCACATAACTACCACCAACAAGCCAATCTGCAAACAATTGGCAAGAAAATTGCAAGAAACTGTCAAGGTTTACCATTAGCTGCAATAGCACATGGGGCTCTTCTTCGCATCTGGTCAGACCCATATGCTTGGAATTACGTACTTGCAAGCCACGCTCGGGGAACAGCTTATGAGGTGCTAGCTTCTCTCAAATTGAGCTACAATTTTCTTTCTGATCCTTTAAAACAGTGTTTTCAATATTGTTCAGTTTTTCCAAAGAAGTCCATCTTAGAAAAAAAGATGGTAGTTCAGTTGTGGATTGCAGCAGGTTTACTTGAATCATCACCATCCACAAATCAGGAAAAAGTCGGAGAAGAATACTTTGATGAACTAGTTTCAAGGTCATTGATACATCGACGATTTATTGGTAATGAGGAAAGAAACTTTGAAATGCATAACTTCATCCATGATTTAGCTACAGAGGTTTCATCTTCATACTGTATCAATATGGACAAACATAACCTAGATGATAAGATGCAGAACTTCTCATACAATAGAGAGACATACGATTCCTATTACAGATTTGATAGATTATACAGATTAAAAGATCTGCGTACCTTTCTAGCATTCCCATTACAAGAACAATTGCCTCTTTGTTTGCTATCAAACAAGGTAGTACATGACTTGCTGCCAACAATGAAACAATTACGCATGTTGTCTCTCTCAAGCTACAAGAGTATCACCAAGGTTCCCGACTCTATTGGAAATTTGGTATACCTGCAATACTTAAATCTTTCTCACACTAATATTGAAAGGCTGCCTCCTGAAACATGCAAGCTTTACCATCTGCAGTTCTTGTTGTTGGCAGGCTGTAAAAGGTTCACTGAATTGCCGGAGGACATGGGAAAATTGATTAATCTGCGCCACCTTGACGTTAGTAACACCGCATTGAGGGAGATGCCCGTACAAATAGCCAAACTCGAAAGTCTCCACATTTTGAGTGACTTTGTTATCAGCAAACATAACGGTGGGTTGAATATTGCAGAGCTAGGAAAACTTCCCCACCTACATGGAAAACTTTCAATCTCACAGCTACAAAATGTTAATGACCCCTTTGAAGCAGATCGAGCCAATATAAAGATGAAAGAACACATAGACGAATTAGCCTTGGAATGGGATTGTGATAACACTTTTCAAGATTCACAAATTAAAAGTGTTGTACTTGAACATTTGCAACCCTCAACAAATTTGAAAAGTCTCACCATCAAAGGTTATGGTGGAGTCAGCTTTCCAAATTGGTTAGGTGATTTTTCATTTAGCAACATGGTGTATTTGAAGATCTCGAATTGTGATGATTGTTTATGGCTTCCACCCCTTGGACAGTTGGGAAATCTGAAAGAACTCTTTATTGAAGGGATGCAGTCTGTACAAACAATTGATACTGAGTTCTATGGAAGTGATATCTCTTCATTTCAACCATTTCCATCCTTGGAGATTCTACGCTTTGAGGATATGCAGGAGTGGAGTGAATGGAACTTAACTGGAGGCACGTCTACAAAATTTCCTAGTCTCAAAACTTTGTCACTAAATAAGTGCCCGAAACTGAGAATAGGAAATATACATGAAAAATTCTCTTCCTTAACTGAACTTGAGTTAAGAGAATGTGCTCTACCAATGCAATCAATGCCATCATCAAATCATGTATTAAGGCAACTAATGTTCCCTCTAAATTCTCTTCAACAACTGACTATAGACGGATTTCCATCTCTCATGTCTTTCCCAGCAGATAATCTACCCAAGACCTTGAAATTTCTCATAATCAATAATTGTGAGAATCTAGAGTTCCTTCCTCATGAATTCTTGCACAACTACACGTCACTTGAGGAATTAAAAATATCTTATAGTTGTAATTCATTGTTATCATTTACCTTAGGCGCTCTCCCTGTCCTTAAGAGTCTATTTATTGAGGGTTGTAAAAATCTAAAATCGATTTTAATTGCTGAAGACGCTTCTCAGAAGAGTCTCTCAATTCTTAGGAGCATCAAAGTATGGGACTGTAATGAACTGGTGTCATTTCCCCCGGGTGGATTGGCCACTCCAAACCTCGTTTATTTTGCAGTGTGGAAGTGTGAGAAACTTCCTGCTTTACCTGAAGCAATGCAGAATCTGACTGACCTTCGGGATATGGAAATTGATAATCTACCAAATCTTCAATCGTTTGTCATAGATGATTTGCCTAGCAGTTTGAAAGAACTGACTGTTGGCTCCATTGGAGGGATTATGTGGAATACTGAGCCAACTTGGAAACATCTCACTTGTCTTTCAGTGTTGCGAATTAACGGCGATGGTACGGAAAATACGGTTATGGGGCCACTGCTACCGTCATCGCTTGTGAAATTATGCATTTGTGGTCTTAATGATAAAAGCATTGATGGGACGTGGCTTCAACATCTCACTTCTCTCATAAACCTTGAAATTGTGAACGCTCCCAAACTCAAGTCTTTGCCCAAAGAATTGCCTTCCTCTCTTTCAGTACTAAGTATCACTCGCTGTCCATTACTGGTAGCAACATTGCGGAGGAAGCGAGGGAAAGAGTGGCGCAAGATTGCTCACATGCCTGCCATAATTATCGACGACGAATTGATCACATAAGTTTCATTTCTAGGTGAGTCTCTGAAGTACTTTTTTGTTTCTTTCTTATTATGTAATCATCATTTAATATTATCAATTTAAGAAATAACCACAAAATACAATATCATAATAATGCTAACTCATTTTTTAATCATAGCATTAGATTGTATAGTCACCCCTACTTCTACCCCAATCTTGCTGTTGTTAGATGCCAAATTCACATGCACTGACTGCAACCTAATCCAGTAAATATTTTACTGATCAGGAGATGATGAAAAGGAGAAACAACCATTGACCGCAAATATGTTAGGTACTCTTTTTTGTCTATGTTTTATGTGATTTTATCAAGATTTTGTAACATTAGTTAAATTCATCTTTACTATATTAGTCTAATGAACATCATTGTGCTCGATTTTCTTTCCATCAATAAAATTGTACTTCTCTTTCAAGCTTCTCTCTCATTTGTTATTTTGCCATCAATTAATTTGGTTTCTTAATTAACATAATGATATAGTGTAACTCTACTAAATTTCTTTCACTAATTGTTGTTCATTGGTGGTCTCTTCTGTAGATTTATAGGTCGTTATTGGTTACTCTTGTTAAGATAATAGAAAGAGAGAGAAATCTGATTTGTATTTCATTCTTAGCAAAATAGAATACAATCAGTAGATATATATAGTTGGGACAGTTTGTTATCACAGATGGCACAGCTCATTAACAAACTTGCAGTTGTGCCTTAACAAACAGACAGTTGTGCGTTAACAAACAGACAAAGTGAATAAGAGAATAAGACAAACAATAGAATAAGACAAAACAGTAGAATATTCTATTCTAATAGTTCCCCTTAGAATCAGAGGGTGTCTTCAGTAGCTCCCTTTTACTGAAAACTCTGAGCTTGTCTCTTAGAGGCAGGAATTTGACAGCAGAGAGAGGTTTGGTTAGTGCGTCTGCCCATTGGTCTTGAGCAGAACATGAACCACAGTTAAACTCTTACTGATGACTTTTTCTCTAAGGAAGAAAATGTCTAATTCCATGTGTTTGGTTCTGTTATGAAGCACAGGGTTGTGAGCTAAAGTAACTGTGCTTAGGTTATCACATAGAATCTTGGGAATTTGAAAAATGCAGTGTAATTCAGTGAGCAGAGATTGGACCGATAACATCTCAGAGGCAAGTTGAGCCATGCTCATGTACTCTGCTTTAGCACTTGATCTAGCCACAAGTTGCTGCTTCTTGGACCACCAAGAGATCAAATTAGGCCCAAGAAAAACACAAGCACCTGAGGTTGATCTCCTGTCATTAGTATCTGCAGCCCAGTCTGCATCACAAAAACCCAAGAGAGAAAGAGGCTGCTGTTTAGGGGCAGGTTGAATGAGAAGACCATAGTGAAGTGTCCCACTGAGATATCTCAGTATTCTCTTGACAACTTTCCAGTGATCCTCCAAAGGATTGGATAAGAATTGGCACACCTTGTTAACAACAAAAGAGAGTTCAGGCCTGGTCAATGTTGCATACTGCAATGCTCCAACAACAGATCTAAACAGGGTGGGATCTGCAACAGTATATGAACCAAATTTAGACAATTTACTGCTAGAAACCATAGGGGTGGGCATAGGATTAGCTGTGGCCATATTCACTCTAGTAAGCAGGTCACTCACATACTTAGATTGAGATAAGATGATAGAACCATTAGGCAGATGGGAGACTTCAATGCCTAGGAAATAATCCAACTTACCAAGATCTTTGAGGGCAAAATTAGAGTTAAGACTCTTAATAAGTTGAGCAATATAGGCAGTGGAATTTCCTGTGATGATGATATCATCAACATAGATTAGGACCATGATAATGAGGCTGCTGGTGTGAAGATAAAACAAACTGGGATCACATTTGCTAGGCTGCAGTCCATGAGTCAGAAGAGAACCCTTGAGTCTGTCAAACCAGGCTCTAGGAGCCTGCTTTAGATCATATAAAGCTTTGTTCAGCTTGCAAACCAAAGACTTATCAGTAGCCTCAAACCCAGGAGGTTGTATCATATAAACCTCCTCTTCAAGTAGCCCATTAAGAAAGGCATTATTGACATCAATTTGCTGCATCTGCCAGTTATTTGTGACAGCAAGGGTTAGCACAAGTCTTATTGTGACAAGTTTTACTACAGGGGAGAAGGTTTCTGAGAAATCACTCTCAACCTGTTGGTGAAAACCTTTGGCAACCAGCCTTGCCTTGTATTTAAGAATGGTACCATCAGGGTTCTCTTTCACACGAAAAACCCATTTGCAGCCTATGGGTTTCTTGGATGCAGGTGGAGGCACCAAAGACCAAGTATGATTTTTCAAAAGAGCCTGATATTCATCTTGCATAGCCTGAAACCAGTGAGGAGTGGTCAAGGCCTGTTTGATTGAGGTAGGTTCCATGTGAGTTAAGAGCAAAGTAGGATTGACTCTAGGCTGAACAATGCCATTTTTGGCACGAGTTTGCATGGGATGAACATTGAGAGGGTGAATAGGAGGAATAAGAGCAGAATTAGAAGAAGAAAAAGGGACAGAGATGAAGAGGAAGGAGATATAGTGCTGGCCTCAGGAAGATCAGAAAGGTCAGAAGGAGAAGAGGGTGAATGATGCAGGGGAGAAGAGGGTGAGCCTGCATTAGAGACAATAGGAGACATAGGCTAAGCAGAGATAGGAGAATAAGAATGTTCTGTAGTGTGGGAAGCAGCATTAGAAGGTGATGGCTGAGAAGAGACGGGAGGGGAAACCTGCTGCAGTGGGGGAATATGAAATGTAGGAATAGGTGGAAAGGCAGAAGGAAACCAAGAGGCAGAAGTAGTGGAAGTCACAGGTGTGGAGGAGCTAGGAAAGAGCTCAGGGTAGGGAAATCTAGTTTCATGGAATAGGACATCTTTAGATATATATATGTTTCAACTATATGGCGATGTTTCCTTTCCACTATGCCATTTTGATGGTGAGTGTAAGGGCAAGAGAACCTATGAATAATTCCTAAGGGAGCAAGAAACTTAGTGAGAAGTTTGAACTCACCACCTCCATCACTTTGGATGCCTTTAAGTTTACAGTTGAACTGAAGTTCAACCATAGACTTGAAGTGTATAAATTGAGTGAGGGTGTCAGACTTTAGTTTTAAAGGGAAAACCCAAACAAATCTTGAGAAAGCATCAACACAGGTTAAGAAATAAGACTAACCTCCTGAGGAGACCATGGGTGCAGGGCCCCAAAGATCACACACAACGAGTTCAAAGGAACAAGTGAAATTAGTAGTGGACAGTGTTGATGGCAGTCTGTGAGACTTGCCTAAACAGCAAGCAGAACATAGGTCAGTGGGAGGCTTTTGAGGGATAGGAATTTGACAGAGTTTGAGAACCTCAAGAAGTACATGATGGTGAGGGTGACCAAGCTTAGTATGCCATAGAGCATACTTGTTATTTGATATAGTGGCAAAGCTAGACATGACAAAATTAGAGTAGGAATTAAGAGCAGAAGTTAAATGTACAGCAGGAGAATTGAAAGTAGAGTTAGATGCAGTTTTATTATTGTGAAAATCATCATTACAATAGGAAAGATGGTTGCTAGTAGCAACAGGATTACAAGGATAACTAAATCTAGAACAAAAATTAGAACTAGGAGACTTAGAACTAGAACTAATAGACTTGGATAGAGAGGCAATGGGCTTGGCAAATCTGTAGAGTCCATCAACTCCAACAGTGCCATGAAGAAGAATTTCAGAAGTATCCTGCGATTTTACAACACAAAATTGAGGATGAAATTCAAAATAGACACGATTATCCTGAGCAAATTTGCTGACACTGATGAGATTCTTAGTTATATGAGGAACAAGAAGAAGATTATGCAAGATTAATGATGAATTAGAGGAATTAGAGGAAGGAAAACTCATGGAACCTACAGAATCAATAAACAAACCTTGACCATTCCCCATGAACACTTGTTCAGTTCCAGGCAGTGAAGAAGCATCAGACAGATTTGAAATCTCAGGCGTGACATGATGCGAAGCACCTGAATCTGGATACCACCATTGGTTGTTGAAGCTGGGATCAGAACCTGCTAAGAAAGCTTGAGGTTGAGGCTGCCTTGGTGGTGTAGGTCTTGGAGCAGGAGCATAACCAAAAGCAGAAGGAGGATATGGTGAGCGTGGCATCATCATGAAAGGATTGAAGGGAGTTCTTGGTGAAGGGTAGGACGGAGCACCTGAAGATGAGTACCTATGATAACATATTGATGCATCATGACCAGGTTTGTGGCAGATTTGACAAGAAACTTTACCAGATCTACCACCTCCACGTCCAAATCTTCCACCACCACGGCTAGACCTACCACCACGAAAGCCATAACCATGATTGTCAGCAGTGGCGTTAACATGGCTAGTACCAACCGGAAAGGTTGAGGCAGTATCTACACCAGAAGTATCAGTAGAGAAAGACTGAGAAGATGGTGGTGCTTGAGCAAGATTCACTGAAACAGGTTCAGTGACAACAGCTTTATGATTCTTCTCCAGACGCGATTCATGAGCAAGGAGACTCAATTCAAGCTCTTCAATCGTACTGAGATCCTCTTTGTTGTTCATCGCAGCAACAATAGGATCATACTCTTCAGGAAGAGCATCGAGAACGATTTCAATGAGATTCCGCTGAGGAACAGGGTCGCCAATAGATACCAGAGATTCGCTGATGTCACGAACACGAATCATGAATTCTGTTATCGTGCGCGAACCTTTGGTGAGATTTCGGAGCTCCGATCGAAGTTGACGCGCCTTGGTAGTGAGCAAGGTGTTGAAGTAACGTTGAACTTCAGACCACACTTGCCATGATTACGTGTAATCGACCAGTTTCGGAAGAATGGAGTCAGAGATAGTGGAGAGGAGCCAAGTACAGATAAGCGCATCTTGCTGTTCCCAGTCAAGATACAAGGGATTCGCACCGCCAGTGACCGGATCTGCGCTGGGAAGGAAGCGCGGAGGAACAAGCGGCGTCGTAACAAACCGTTGCAGTTTGTGGCCGCGAATCACACCCACAATCTGCTATTTCCATTGCTTGAAGTTTCTTTCATCAAGCTTGACAGAGATGAGGTGAGAAAGTTTGATGTGAGAAGAGGGAAAAACACCCTCAGAATTGAAAGGAGAAGCCATGGGAGCACGGAAAAAAAAGGCTCAAGGTACCATGTTAAGATAATAGAAAGAGAGAGAAATCTGATTTGTATTTCATTCTTAGCAAAATAGAATACAATCAGTAGATATATATAGCTGAGACAGTTTGTTATCACAGATGACACAGCTCACTAACAAACAGACAACTGTGCCTTAACAAACAGACAGCTGTGAATAAGAGAATAAAACAAACAATAGAATAAGACAAAACAGTAGAATATTCTATTCTAATAACTCTAGCCTCTCTTCAAGTTCAAAATCTCTGTTATACGAAAATGAGTGTTTTTGACATCAATTGTGTTTGGAAGGCGTTTGTTAAAAATGCTGCTTAAATTGCTAAGTTATTTCTGTGGACTGTCAAAATTATTTTAATGAGTTTTTCTTTTGTCCCTCTTTGCCACAAGAATTTCAAACAAACTTGTGCATATATTGATTTGAGAGACATGATGTGATGAATTGTAAATAAGATTGATGTGAATTTGTATATCACAGTGATCTTCATGAGATATTTGATATTGGACATGTTTTAGCAAGGTTTGCATAGCAGTGGCATCTCATTTATAAATGAACCAGTTTATTTTATTTTCTGTCACTTTATTTGTTATTTCACTATAATACTATTAAGCTCAGCAAGGTAATATAAGCAGTTATTTTCACATGAGCAGTGGCCTAAAATAGAATTAGTTTTTAATACACGTAGGTCTGAAAAATAGTTGGTTAATGATTTCTTTGTAAATAAACTTTTAACAGAGTGAATGATTAAGGTTAATGACAATGTTTATGCGAGTTTTTTTGATACTTTTTCATTAACTGATAAAAAATTTTAGACCTGAGTAACCTTACTAGCTCCTACACATGTTACCACAATTTCTTTTAACTGATGAAGACAACTTAACAAGCATCAATTATCACCTACTTACACTATAAGGATCCAAATTCGGAACAGTCTTTAGCACATTATTGCTGATAATTAATTGAAATAGAAAATAGGAACAAGTTATGATTAGCTAATATATCATTTTCACTTGCCTACTACTTTTAGCCTACAATATTTGTGTCATACCTTCTTTTTCCATCACTTAAATCTCTTTAAAGCCACTAGTTTTCACGAAAATGCTCTTTAAATTCTAGAATCTAGGATGTGTTTCAAAATTCTTGGATTTAAAAATACAAAACCTATGGTTCAAATGACAATCAAATCATCAATAGACTCCAGACACACCATTTGTCTTAATTGAAAGGTCATGTGACTCTAAAACCTTCCTCGTTGTATTTTATAGCATTTTCATTCCATTCACGTCACACACTATGTACTAGTATAATTAAGATTATTGGATTTGAGCATGCATCAAATGAGCATTCGGAATTTACAATCTGAAAAATGTTGCAAGCCCCCGTCATGCATGTTTGAATCCTATATTATGAATTATGTATTTTTCTGAAGCACTTATGTTTTAAAATTAAATTACATCGCTCTAAATATGGATGCTCTTCCCGACTTTCTCTTTCTCTCACTAATGAGAGTCATTGAAGTGAAACTTGACAATATACCTCAAATTGTCAATGTGAAAGTTGTCGGTATACCTCCAATCATGTATTGTATTGGTTGCCGGCTACAGTAATTGATCGATACAAAATTTATTTCACCAAATGAATTGTTGACATGAGTTCGAGATGGAACAAAAAATTTAAGAATTGCTACTTTTATTTCAAAATCATATCTAAGTGGGAAAATAGAAATTTATTTCATGTGTTGAAATGTCTTCTCTACAGGTCAAGATAATGGTTCTACAACGTTAGTAACAGAAGATATATTTGATATGCTCATCTAAACTCTTGCCAGCATGTCTCTCTACTCCTCATGGCCTGGATGCTCCTTTTCTAAGTGCATGAAATATAGGATACATTTATCACTTTATATACTTCAGAGCTGTAAGAAAACAAGTTAAAAACAACCACCATATAAGACATGCCAACATTACACATATTTTCAAAAAAGATAAGAAACTAAGTAGATACTAAAGGTGCCAAAAAATGTATTTGGATGTCATGTGCCAAAGAGAGACAAGAGAAAACTCAGTTAAATTTGATAGACCACGACATTAACTAACAATTTGAGCAGAAAGCTCCACCCCAACACAAATAATCTCAAAATCACTCCTTTTCATAAAACAAAAGATTTGTACCTGACCACGCCGTCAATAAATCCTGCACGATACTTGAAGAGAGAGTAGGGTAAATTCTAACAACACATAAATCTATAGTAGAAACAGCTCATGAACAAAAACTTATTAAATTTAAAAATGAGTCAGTGTTTGTGTTATAATATCCTATTTATTGAAAAAAGAAACAAAAAAGAAGTATGTTTGTGACTCACCCAAACAGGAAACTCATGTGATTATTTTGTCATTGATGATTATGAAGGGAATGCGAGCAATCTTACGCCATTCTTTCCCTCGCTTCCTTTGCAAACTTGCTTCCGGTACCGAACAACAAGTGATACTCAATACATACAGAGAGGAAGGCAATCCCTCTTTTGGCAACGACTTGAGTTTGGGAGCATTAACAATCTCAAGTTTTTGAAGAGAGTTTAGATGTTGAAACCACTTCCCATCAATGACTGTATCATTAAGATCATAGATGCATAGTGTCAAAAGCGATGCAGGTAGAAAAGGCCACATCAGCATGTTCACAGAATCATTTCTGTTAATTCGCAACACTACAAGACAGGTGAGATGTTCACATGTTGGCCCAGTACTCCGCATAATCCATCCAACAGAACCAACAGTCAGTTCTTGTAAGCTGCTAGGCAAATCATCTATGACAAATGCTTGAAGATTTGGTAGATTATCAATTTCCATTTCTGGTAGTAAAAGAAGCTTCTCACACTTCCACACGGCAAAGTAAACGAGGTTTGGAGTGGCCAATCCACCTGGAGGAAATGACTCTAGTTCATTACAATCCCATATTTTCACGCTTCTAAGAAATGAGAGACTCTTCTGCGACGCATCTTCTGCAATTAATATTGATTTCAGATTTTTACAACCCTCAATAAAAAGCCTCTTGAGGACAGGGAGAGCACCCATGGTAAATGATATCATTGAATTACAGCTATAAGATATTTTCAATTCCTCGAGTGATGTGTAATTGTGCAAGTATTCATGGGGAAGAAACTCTAAATTTTCACAATTTTTTACTATGAGAAATTTCAAGATTTTTGTTAGACCGTCTATTGGAAAAAACATTAGAGATGGAAATCCGTCTATGGTAAACTGTCGAAGAGAAGTGAAAGGGAGCGTCAATCTGTTGAATACATCGCATGTTGGAATTATAATAATGTTATTGTTATCATCATATGAATGTCTTGACTCTCTCAGTAAAGGACATCCTCTTAAGTCAAGTTCAGTTAAGGAAGGAAGTTTGTGAGGTATGTCTCCTCGCAGTTTCGGGCACTTGCTTAAGAACAAACATTTTAGACTAGGAAAATCTGCAGTTCTGCCTCCAATCGTGTTCCACTCCTCCCACTATGGCATATCCTCAAAGCATAGAGTCACCAAGGAGGGGAATGGTTGAAATAAAGGAGAACTATCACTTCCATAGAACTCTATACCAACACTTTTTATTGAAAGCATAGAATCAATATTGAGTTCTTTCAAATTACTCAATTGTCCAAGGGGTGGAAGCAATATACAATCATCACAATTCAATATCCTTAAATACACCATACTATCATATAAAGAATCACCCAACCAATTTGGAATGCTGACTGCACCATAGCCATTGATGGTGAGACTTTTCAAATGTGTTGAGGGTTGCAAGTGTTCTAGTATAATACTTTGATTTCGTGGATCCGAAAAAGAAGTACCACAATCCCATTCTAAAGATGATTTTTCTATTTGTTCTTTCATCTTCATATTGGCTTTAAAAACTTCAATGGGGTCATTAACATTTTGTAGCTGTGATATGGAAAGTTTTCCATGTAGGTTGGGAAATTTTCCCAGCTCTGCAACCTTCAATCCATCAATATGTTTGCTGATAACAAAGTCGGACAGAGTTTGGAGATTTTGTAATTTGGCTATTTGAATTGGCATCTCTCTCAATGCAGTGTCACTAACGTCAAGGTGGCGTAGATTAACCAATTTCCCCATGCCCTCCGGCATCTCCTTCAATGCGGTGTTACTAACGTCAAGGTAGTATAGATTAACCAATTTTCCTATGTCCTTCAGCAATTCAGTGAACCTTTTACAGCCTGACAACAACAAGAATTGCAAATTGTAAAGCTTGCATGTTTCAGAAGACAACCTTTCAAACATAGTGTGAGAAAGATTTAAGAACCGCAGGTCTAACAAATTTCCAATAGAGTTGAGAACCTTAGTGGTACTCTTGTAATTTGATTGAGACAACACCCGTAATTGTTTCATTTTTGGCAACAAGTCATGTACTACCTTATTTGGTAGCAAACAAAGAGGCAATTGTTCTTGTAACGGTAATGCTAGAAACGTACGCAGACCTTTGAATCCATACAACTTATCAAATTTATCAAGTGAGTCATATAACCCTCTATTGTATGACAAACTATGTACATTTTCATGTAGGATATGTTCGTCCATATTGATACAATATGGAGATGAAACCTCTGTAGCTAAATCATGGATGAAGTTATGCATTCCAAAGTTTCTTTCCTCATCACCAATAGATTGGCGATGTACCAATGATCTTGACACTAGTTCATCAAAGTATTCTTCTCCAACTTTTTCTTGTTCTATGGACGATGATTCAAGTAAGCCTGCTGCAATCCACAAATGAACTGCCAAATTTTTTTCTAAGATGGATTTTTTAGAAAAAATTGAACAATATTCAAAACATCGTTTTAAAGGATCAGAAAGAAAATCCTAGTTCAATATGAGAGAAGCTTGCACCTCATAAGCTATATCCTGAACCTTACTTTCTAGCACAAAATTCCAGTTAATTGGGTACGATAAGACGCGAAGAAGAGTCCCATGTGCTACTGCAGCTAATGGTAATCCATCACACTTTTTTGCAATTTTTCTGCCATTTTTTTCTAGATTGAATCGTTGTTGGTAGTTATGTTCACCAAATGCGTGTTCGGCAAGTATAGACCAACAATCTTTAAGTTTCAAGGGTCTCAGATAGTGGAGAGAAGAAGAAAGAAAGGTATGCATGGATATTACAATTTTTTCATCTCGTGTTGTGATGACAACCCTGCATCCTGTTTCCCAGCATTCATGATAACCATGAGTAATGTCCAATTGACAACTCTTGCATCCCACACACCATTCAGTACTAGCAAAAATTTTGGGTAAATGGTTGTTTGTCAAGTACTAATAGATTCAAGAATGGTTTCAGAAACACTGAAATCATCTAACTCATTTGAGAAATCTGCCCACAGTTTTAACTCGAATTCGTCCTTTAAATGAGAATAAATTTTGATTTGCTTGGCAGTAAGTACAATAAGTAGCATACCCTAAAAAATCAGTTTCGTCAAGCAAACCGGCAACTTGAAAAACAGCACGTGTGAGGAAATCCAGCGATTTGTTGTTAGCTTGAGTGGGGATGAGTTTGTTGTTAGCATAATAAAGTACACCGTCAAGATTCATCAGTGTTTTCTTCACATTTTTCTCTATAGAAACAATCTATTCGTGTTCAACAAGTTGTCGCCGTGCTCGATAGAACCAATTTTTTCTAACTTTTTCGATAGTTATAAAAATTTAATTTTGTATCAGAAATTTTAAAATTTTTAGTAATAAAAATTTAGTTTTATATCAAAAATTTTAAAATTTTGGTAGATATAAAAATCTAGTTTTATATCGGAAATTTCAAAATTTCCGGTAGTTGTCATTATTATTTTTTCTAATTTTTTTCCTTCTTTTACCGTGAAATTCAAAGGCAGAAATGGTACTATTCGTGGAAGAGCGGTTGGTCGAACAACAGACCAAGGTAGGACCGATAAGGGTGCTGAAGTTGAGTCTTCCCAGCTACGGGCAGGACGAGTGGTCCCCACCAATTCACACCGGAAGCGGTTGGCTGAGCGGGTTCATTTACAGGCACCTCGTTCCACTTGACGCCGACCAATTCGATCAGTAGACCGTGCTACAAATGAGGTGCTACTAGATGTTCATGTATTTGATCCCGTTAGTGAGCCGATGGTTGATCCAGTTGTTCAGGAAGTTGCTCAGAAGGTTGTAGAGGAGGTACAACCAGATGCTTCCGTGGGTGCGTCGGGTTCATCGGTTACTGCAAACACAGAGGTTACGACTCCTTTGACTGAGCCATTTGTGAACACTGATGACAGATTCTCAGAAGGATCCATCGACCAGTCTGTACTTACAGAGTATGTTGAGCATGTGACCTTACGATTATGACCGGGCGAGGTACATGTCTTTTATGTTTAATTTTAATTTTTGTTTATATATGTCTGTCACATGAGATATCAACTAATTTATTTATATTTTGTTATCATACGAGCGACCCACACTGAAGATGATATCACACGGGTTTAAGATGAAAGACTTTCCAAAGATTTGGATGCCTGAGCAGGCGCTTATTGTCGAAATTGGTAAACAAGCGATAGTCTTCCAAATTTTATGTTTTAGTTACTCGATTGATCAACTAGATTGATCCTATGACATATCCTTTTACTTTTCTTCAGGTTTTGTTACTTATGAACATTTCAAAAATTTTCTTTCAATTTGTTAAAAATAATGTTACAATTCATAAAGAAATTTATAAATGTAAATTACTTCAATGTAAATTTACAGCAAATGTAAATGACAAAATCTTAAATGATTTGATAAAAAGTGTAAAAATATGGTGATCACACTGTCGCTACTGCGAAAATCGAGGCCGACAATGACAGAAGAGTCGCCACCGTGCGTTATTTATCCCAAGAGAGGGAAAGAAAACACTCAGAGAAAACCTAACGAAAAGAGGGATAAGATCGGTCATTGCAACCAAATCTCGGGTTCAGGAGTCGGTTACGCAAGGGGAAGGTATTAACACCCCTCACGTCCATCGTACTCGACGGGATCCACGCTTGTTGTCTATCTAAAAGGGTGATTAAAACTATCTAACTACAGGCTTGAGGACAAAAGAAAAAAAAGTGACTCGGCAAAGCAACGACACTTTGTGCCTACGTATCTCATATGAAATGAGAAGTCAGAGTCAATGTAGTTCGGCTAACTACGGGTGAAAGGGGGGAAGGTTACTCGCCAAGACGTCGTGTTTGTGCCTACGTACTTTCATCTGGTATGAAAGATCAGAGCAAACGTAGTTCGGGCTAAAAGGGAACACAGGTTTGTTCGACTATTTTACCCGAGTAGGGTTAACAATTAGTTCTAGCAGTTTGGTGTATGCAGCTCGACCATTGGAGACTTAGGCGTTACCGTTTGCGATAGAATCAAGAGTTAACAACACTCTCCTTACGAAAATGATTTTCCAAGATTAAAGACCCCAAAGGGCAAAAAGAAGTTTGAATGATTTTTTTTTGTGTTTTTTAGAGAAGAAGTGTTTTTGGATTGTCTGCAATTCATATTGCACCAGAGACTATGACTTAGGAGTGAATGCGTCGCATATCACCCAAAGGGTGCTATACTAAACATTCAAGCCATTGAAGAGAAACTCCCCAACAACCTTTTCCCAAGTGCTTAAGGCTCGTAACGCACAATAATCATTAACCTTTATTAGGTGTTTTATGATTGTTTTGAGATGAGAAGAGAAAAGACACACTATAGGGGGACTAAACCAAACCTAAAGTTGTCATGTACAATGCTCCTAAAGTTGGGATAAAAATGGAGAACTAACCTAGTGTTATCATGCATAGGATTGAACACCTAATGTCTCTCCTACTCCCATCCTAAACGGAGGGACTTGGAGTCCTAGAGGGATCATGGCACAAGGCCAAGTAAACACCAAATAAATTCACTCACAAATGAAATGAAAAAGAAAAGGAAATGATAAAAATAAAATGGAAGAGAAAACAAAGAAAAACAAATGAAAATAAATCAAAACACCCTCGCTGGGGGTCGAACCGAGGTTCACGAGGTCAGGCAAAGTCTTAAGGCAAGGCGTTTAACCACTGGGA